GCATTCAGAGAACCCCTCCATGCTAAGACTGGACCTTTTGGTCTCATGGACAATTTGACAAGTTCACGTTTTTGTTCGATCACACTGTGGTGTGCTTAGTTGTTAACGATCCTGCTGATCAATATCCATCAGGGGACCAAAACAAACCTTAATGCAGTTAGAAAGGAAAGCAAGCAAAAGGGGGTAAGGAAGTCCGGGAAATGTAAAGTGAGTGGATGAATATCAGTGGTCAGGAGGAAATCCGGGCGTTTTTATGCTATGCGTGCGCTTGGGCACCGACTGCACCAATCAGAGCCCCCCCCCCCAAATAGGACATCCTAATGGGCAAAGGAGGAGGCGCTAGAAGAGGGCGGGGGGGGGGGGGATGCTGTCGTGAGCTAACATGCAATTTGGGGGGTGTGAGGGCTATTTATAGTCAACTGATTAGCAAGAAGCCATTCAAGCACTACCTTCTGTAATATACCCAGAATATCCGAGTCGGCTGTTTCAGCAGTCGATGTCATTATTCCGTGGGAGAAGGAGCGGCGCAGGGAAGTGAATTTAATCGCAGTAATTCAACCAGAGTAATGAGCGGGCGTGAGACCGGGATGCTGGGCGACAAGGGAAGCTGTGTGTGGGCGAGGAGGAGGGCCTGGGGGTGGACAGACAGAGAGGCAGGCGATGCCGGGTTTGGAAGAGGGAGACCTCACAAGCGGTGAGATCCGCAACGCGTGCGGGAGGATGCGGCGCCGCAAAGAGAGTCCCGAACATCCCCAGCTGTCACGCCACCGCCTGAAAGCCACCTCCTCCACATTTCCATTCATAGAAATCCAGCTCTCTCACTCGCCGAGCCGGGTGCCGTCACACCTCGCGCATGGTGGGTGGGGAAGCCGGTAAACACCTGATTGGCCGGAGGCACTTCTGCATACCCGCTCATGCCCAATCACGGCTCCCCGTTGCTTTTGCGACACAGGCGAGTCAGAGGAGGCTACGTTAGTAATGCGACGGTCCAGGCTGGAGATGCGTAGCTTTTGTTTTTTTTTTTGGAAACATAACAGAAAATGTAGGGATTCTATTTAAAGGCACCGCGTCTTGCTTGCGTGCAGCTTTTTAACTCCTCTGCAGCCTGCCATCTTCCTCGCTCCTCCTCTCCCTCACTGTGCTGCCGCACGGATCGGAGCGAGTCACACGCACACTGCAGAGCTTCGTTCTTTTTTTTCCTTTTTTGTTTCCCACCCCCTCCCGATCGAGGGGAGGATTAGGGAGTCTCTTCTTCACGTCACAGCAAGCGGGTAGAGACGCAGGATGAATGAGGAGAGTCTCCAGCCCCCCCCGACCGCCTCCTCCCTTCAGGGGATGCTGAGTTCAGGGCTGCCGTCATTGGGCTGCCGTACCTAACCCCCCCTCCCACCCGCATGCCGGCCTGTGCCCCCACCCCCCGCTAACTGAGACGGGGGCCAAGGTTCCTATGACACTAAGCATGAGCTGTGTCACCACGGTGCTGGCATTTCATTTTATTTTTAATTAGAGGAGTGTGCTGCTTAACTCCCGTCATGTAAAGCCGCCATCCAATCAGCGTGTCAGGTTCCAGACTCACATCCCGGGGTGGGCCATCCCTGTGCGCTCACGATTCCCTGCACCTGCAAGCGTGTGCGTGTGTGCGTGTGCGCATGTGAGTGCTGCTGCTTCGGGGACGCAGTGACAGCTGCTGACGTCAGACTGCTGTGCGCCAGCCGCAGAGGCAGCGCGTCACACACACACACACACACACACACACACATGCGCACGCCTGCCTGCCTTCCAAGGGGGGAAACCTCACAGCCACATTAACTTTCAAGCGTCCTTGGCCAAGATCCTTCATGCTGGCTTTAGATACACGCTTATGCACCGAGAATATGCACGTATGTCACACGAGTGTCAGGACAGTGGCTCAGTCATCAGGGAGCAGATGCCTGTCTATGAGTCGGCCCCCACTCTGGATCGCACACGCCGGTTTAAGGCTTCCCCTTAATAACACAACATTTTCACCGACAGATTATAGCGGTAAAAGAAACGGGACGCAAACCTGCCTCGCGGTCTGACAGCCGAAGCTCTTCATCGTACTGCAGCTGTATCGCTCACAAGCGTGCGGGGGCTGTGTGAGGGGGTGACCCTCAGACTGCGGGAATACAGGTAATCTCTGCTTTGCGTGACTCAGCCGAATGCTAGATTAATGTGCCCCCTCTCTGTCCATCAAGCTGTCTTTTTTACCCTGGATAATTAGATGTGGAAGGGGTCTAAATATAAGGTCTTCCTTGGGGTGTCTCTCTTTCTCTTTCCGTGCGGCATATTTCGGCTGCAGCATCCCACCCCCATTTTCAAGCCGAGCTCCGCGCGTCACAGCATCACGACGCCCACGCCTCTCCGTCCTTGTGTTTCTCATCCTCTTTTAATTATTCATCCCTGTCCGTGTCACAGGAATGCGAAAATCCCTCCCAACCCCCCCCCCCTCACCCAGCCCCGACTAAGTGACAGCCCCCTTCTTCTATGTCCTATTGGCGCTCTGTCCGCTGCCTCACATCGGTCACACGGGGACGGACACGGCTCTATACGGCCGGAAATGGAATCGATCGCACAGTTTAAAGGGGAATTCCNCCCTGTCCGTGTCACAGGAATGCGAAAATCCCTCC